CCCCCGGCCCCCCCTGCCGCCCCCGCCAAGTCCTGACGCTCGACCCTGGCCTTGGGAAGACCTGGGGGGTGGAGGGGGGGTCTGTTCTTGGGGTGGGGTTTTTTTTTCCTTTTACATTAATAGTACTGAAAATTAATGACAGACAAGGCCAGGAAAAGGATTTGTGGGTTACATTTTTAATTTATTGGAAGTCTTCACAGTGTTATTTTTTAAAGCTGCAAGCTTGATATTTTTGTTGTTTGTTGGGTTTTTTTTGCCTGCCCCAATATTTGCACATTCCCTGTCTTTTTTTTGGTCTTTTTTTTTTTTTTTTTGTCGTCGATTATTTGTTTTGAGCAGCCTTCATTAAGCCAGGCTGGTTATAAAATTGCCATGGAGCAGCTAGGTACACAGCAAACCCTAAGTTTCCTATAAATTATAATATATCTAATACTAAGTCCTCGTATACATATATTTTAAAGGTCAGAGTGGATGTTTTATAACATTTAAGTATATTGCGACTGTAAATAGAAGATGTGTAAAATATGTCATTTTTACAAAATTTAAAAAAAAAATCTTTTTAGTTAATTATGACAGTACTAAGAATATGGATAACATTTCAGTTACCGTTCTATTAAAATATTTGTGTATGTGTATAAAAGCGTCCATAAAATTTTCTCTTTGAAGGTCGGTGCGTTGGTTGGTTCCCACATTGGTGCTTTACAGGGTGGTGGAGATGGGGATGTCTCCTGCATTCCACCTCCACATTGTGTTAGCAGTTGCTGATAGGGATGCTTGTGACCATCTTTGAAGACCAAGGCCACCCTGGGCAACAGGGCCCCCATGTAGTCATCCTTCTTGAGGCTAGGGAAGCACAGCTCTTCCTTTGAAGTTTGTAGTCTCAGATTTTGTCTGTTGGGAAACCATGTGCCTCTAGTGAGGTGTTTGTTTCTGTTCCTGTGTCATGTTGGGGTGAGGTGGAGCAGTTCTGACAGCTCTTAAGAGTTGCCTTTAGCCTTGGTGCTCGCACGCTACTTCAGGTTCATCTCTTTGTCCACAGAAGATCCCTGCTTTTGGGCGTCCCTGCTTATTGTGCATGTGCATTAGGATCCCTCTCCCCCACAGATCCATTAAGCTGTGGCTCACGATCCCTGGAGCAACCCTGGTGATTCCTCTGAGGTCTCCACAGGTTCACGAGTGTTTGATCAGGTGCAAGCCCAGCTCTAGGTCCTCATTCTGCCCTACTGTCTCCTTTCCCTGTACCCCTTCCCATGACACTCCCAGCTCACAGCTGGTGAACCTCAACTCAAGTTGTAACCTGGCCCTGCAGGCAAGAGCTGAAGGTGGTCTCTGAATTCCCCCATCTATATGTGCAAGGTGGAAGAGTCAGCATGCAGTCTCAGGTACTTTAGAAGCCATCATGGTGATATGGAGACAGACTGTTTCTAATTAATGTTCACAAGAGTTGACCAACTAAATCTGTTGGGCTTCTTCGGGAATAAGTGGATTGCAAAAGCGTGGCTGGCACTGAGGGACTGTTGGAAGCGGACACCAGGCTGGGCTGAAGCCAAGCTGTGGTCTGAGAAGCAGAGGTAAGGAGATCCATGGATTGTTTTCTCAACAGCTTACACACAAAATGAATTTCTTGTGTAAGTCTAAGGGTTTGTGGGGTTTGGTTTGTTTTAAGCCACCAGCTCTGAAGCCTCCTCTGGGTGACTGAAAGTCCAGCCTCTGTTCTAGCTGTTAGCTTTTTGCTGGTGCTGGAGATGCTCAGGCTTGAGCATCTCCAGCACCAGCACTGGAACAAGGTGGGTCCTTGTTCCAGAGGCTCCTCCCTCCTGCTCCATTCAGGCACTTTCAGCACAGTCCCACGAACCAGCACAAGTTAGCAAACGTTTGCTTTGAACAAAGCATTCAACCACAGCTCGTGCCAGCGTCGAGGGGAGGGCAGGAGAGGAATGCAGGAGGCAGGGAGACAAGTACAGGAGCAGATGGACATCCCCAGTGCTGACACACAGAGGTTTTGGTTTTGCTGCAGGATGGGCAGGGTCTGAGCACAGATGTCCCAGGGACCCGGCAAAGGTGGCGGTGAGAAATGCTGCAGTCAGCTTTTTTGGTTAATTGCTCTGCTTGAAGAAAAGAAATATAGATGGGGAAAACAGCTCCTGGTACCTCTTCAAGCCTCTGTCCTAGTTCTTGCTAAGCGTGGAGTTACATAGGGGTTTATAGATGAAACTCTGACAAGGCTTCTGAGTTTTAGGCTGTGAGCAAGATTAATAATAACAGGCATAAAAATAATGTCTACGTGGAAGTGTGTGATGTGGGACTGTCATTGGTGTCATTGCTGGTGCTCGGCGTGTGCAGCTCTCAGATCACTCGTGTAAGAGGAAAACCTGCATTTTTCTCCATCATGCTTTCATGGCAAATAGCTCTGCCTGAGAAGACTCAAGTGGCCAGAGCTGGAGGAGAGGCAGGTGGCCAAGGGGGTTTTGGGCACCGTGACCCCTGCAAGGAGCAGGGTACAAGGGGCAGGAGGTGAAGAGGAACTCAGGGAGGCTCTCAGCCCATGGCTGCTGTAGGCCAGGCTGGTGGGAGACCCCCTGTCACCTCAGGGAGGAGATCGTCCTGCACCAGCCTCAAATCGAGCTACTTTTAGTACTTTTCAGAGCGCAAAAGAAGTTACTGATGTTAGTTACCTAGTGGAGGCTATCCCAACACCCCAAAAGGAGTTAAGCATTATACATATTTAATGTTTAATCACATCTTTCATGACACCCAACCACAACCCAGGGCTTAAATTGCAATTAGAGGGGGATGTATTACATGTGTAATAGGAGTCGTTCCTTACAGGGTAATCATATCTTAACATTCACTGCAGAGATGTTATGTTGGCAACGTCAACTTGATCTGAACAGGGATAATTTTTGCATATACCTTTTACTACAGTTTTGAACATTTATAAAACCAGTCACGGACTGCTCAGTATTACAGCTCTAACTAATATGGGAGGATGAATCATCAAGACAGATGAACTAGCAAGGGTGTCTTAGAACATCTGCTATGGTTTTGAATGCATCTGCTGATTTACTTTTTCCCCATATAGAGCTATGGTCATGACTAGGAAGGACCTTCAGCTTCACTATCCCTGTATCCCCTGGGGAGCTGCTTAAGCAGGAACCACTTGGCAGAGACCCATTGCCCTCACAAGAGTTTCCTGCTCCTCCTGCCCTCACTTTGCTGTCTGGAGGCTGCAGTGTGGAGCGGGCAAAGTTTCTTCTCCATGAGAAAAAAAATTCTTTGCTGTGAGGGTGCCCAAGCCTGGAGCAGGCTGCCCAGAGAGGCTGTGCCGTCTCCTTCTCTGGAGAGATCCCAAACCCACCTGGACACCATCCTGGGCACCCTGCTACAGGTGACCTGCTGGAGCAGGGGGTTGGACGAGATCCATCTCCACAGGCCCCTTCCAACCCCACCATGCTGGGATTCTGTGATTTTAGTAGAGAAACACCAAATTGCTGCTTTTCTTTTGAAATGGCTAAAATCAGGGAGTTTGCTCTGAATGAGTCAGGTCCCTCTGGCCATGCCCTCCCTGGGCTCACCAGCACCTCTGGTGGTGATGCTCAGCCCGGTGGGGAGTGCTGCAAACCCAGCACTCTTCCCAGTGTGCAGGTCAGGAGCAGAACAGGCGCTCGCCAGCACTACTGGAGCAGGGGCTGCGGCAGGATGGGGTCCTGCTCCATGGGTGGGGTGCTGGGTGATCCAGGAGGCCACCATGGCAGGGTGGGCATGTGGCTGAGCACAGAGACCCCAGCACAGCTTCTCCCCTGCACAGGGACCTTCCAGAACCTTCTTTTTTTGTTTGCAGTCTGCAGAGAGCAGCTCTGGGCAGCCATGGGCTCGCGGGGCAGCTCGGGGAGGAGGTGAGAATGTTCTTATTCTTTTCAAGAGGAGTCAAGCACGGTTCCTTGGTGAAATATTAGCTATGGAAAATACCAGGTAACTTTCCTACTTCCCAGGCACCTGTTGGAGTATTTGGAGATGGGGAAAAAGAAGAAGTGCACTGAGACCAGCAGGGTTAGGGGAAGGTTGTGGCAGTGTATGGATTATCAGGCCAAGAGAGTCTGAGTGGTTTGAAGGCAGAATGATCAAAAGCTCATTTGGAGGAGCCTCCTCATTAGTAGGCCATGTGTCTCTTTTACATGTGTGGCCTCAAGATCCAAAAGCATTGGCCCTTGAGCAGCTCTGGCTCCAGGCACTGCAGGAGGAGGTGCTGCTGCCCTGTGGGGACGTTGTGCCTAACAGAGGTTTGGGATCCATCCTGGGCATGGCCCATGCACTTGGGAGCATCCCTTAGGCCCCATGAGGTGGGAATTAGAGTAATGAATGTGTTCTTCAGGTCAGGAATCATAGTCCACGTGGGATACATGTGCAGTGGCTTGTAATGCTCCCATAAATTGACAACGTAGAGGTATTTGGGGAAAATTCTCAGCAATGCCAAGCTGCAATCAGTATTGCTGACTTTGCTGTCCAGGTTGTTGCAGTTCCTCGTGGAGTTCTTAATTACTCACTCCAGCAAGTATCTTCAAGTTCTCAGTACAAGCATCTCCCCCTGGACAGCAGCAAAGAAATGCACATTCCCTTTTCTTCTGGTTGATCTCCCCCCAGCTTTGTGGCAGGAGCTTCTCCTGTGTGCTCCCTGAGCTGTGCTCCCTGGATGCTGCTCAGGCAGCTGGACTCAGTCAGTTTTGTCACAGAAGGGCTGTTGGGGGAAACTTGCCCTCTGATAACGTTTCTGTGACCTGCAGATGCCATGTGATGATTCCTGTAGCTCTGAGTCATGTTTTAAATGTATTTGCCCAGATTGCATGTGGCACGATACCTTCTGGCTACACGGATACAAATATCCTCATGTGTTTTATAGGGTATGTTTTGTTTGAGAAAAGAAAAATGAGTAAGAAATACTGACTATTTGGAATTGTAGGATTTTCTGCTTGGAGCTGCTCCTGAGGCTATCTCCCAGGAGTGATGGCTTGGGTTAACGTGAGAGCTCTCACAAGCTCTCTGCAGGTAACTGTGGGCCCAGTTGCATGCTTCTCATTACAGAAATCTCCAGCTGAGCCTATAGATTTTCCTGCACGAGGCACAGTTCTGTACTCAGGAGCATATGTTGTGCTTGCAGGGAGCTGGCATCAAGCAGATGAATTCTGATCATTCCAGACTAACTTGAGGATCCATTTAAAGGGAGCGACCCAGCGTCTTGGAAATGCAACATGGAGGCCTCAAGTGCTCCCTGCAAAGTCTGAGGTGTTTCTGTAGCCAGCCCAGTCCATCAACCGTAGCCAAGGGCTTTGGATGTGACTCATGGTTCTCAGTGTTCCTATTTCCCATGCCCAGGTGAAGTCTGGTTTTTTGAAAGTATTGAGCATCCCCTGCTGGAAATCAGACCCCTTTCAGAAACCTGAGATGAGACAAAAAGGACATTTAATGGTCATTAACAAGTTCAACAGTTACCTGTTAAACAGACTAGTCAGATAACTTTCTTTGTGCCATCGTTATCTAATCAGATTATGAAACATGAGACTGCTTTAAACATCCGTTGAGTTTTGCCATCTTCTTTCCTTCCCTGGAGCTTGTGCAGCTCCACCGTGGTTAAAAGGGAGTTTAATTAGTCATGAGTGTAAGGCGAGGTGGCACTGAAGCATGAAGAGGGCTTTGTGCCCTCTCATGCCTGGCTACACGTGAGGCCGGTGAACATTTCCATGGGGTCTGACCTTGACGCTCCCCACTTC